CCCTAACTAACCCTAACTAACCCTAACCTAACCCTAACTAACCCTAACTAACCCTAACTAACCCTAACTAACCCTAACTAACCCTAACCCTAACTAACCCTAACTAACCCTAACTAACCCTAACCCTAACCCTAACCCTAACCCTAACTAACTAACCCTAACTAACTAACCCTAACTAACTAACCCTAACTAAATAAAAGGATAAAAAATATAGTGTTATTTTAAGTTTTTATATTGTTATATTAAATAATATAGTGTTTTTATACTTTATTTTAAAAAAACAGGATTATATCGTAAATATATTCTTTATATATTACTTTTTTTTATACGTATAAATATATTTTTAACCTCGTTATTTTTTTCTTTTTTTAACTTTATATAATCTATTCGTTTCGTTAATTAATAAATTAACGAATAAATAACATAACGAACGTTCGTACGATATATTGTCGACTTTCGAGTTTATTACTCTCTCGTTTAACGAGTCCCCCCCTTTACTCGTTTACTCTTTTATTTTAAATAATACTCTTTAAAACCCGATTATTATTATAGATAATAACTTATTTACTAACGTTATTATAAACCCGTTTAGTATACTATACACTTTTAATAACTATCCCTCGGACCCGGTTTTAATTCCGGATAACGACGCCTCGGGTAACTCGTTTTATAACCTAATTATATTAAATTAAGTTTATACGGGTTTCGTACGATATTATCGACGTCCGTTAAAGAATAAACGTCTTTAAAAACCGGTAAAACTTAAACGTCCTTTTTACTTACTACTTCGTACGAGTAAACCTCGTTCCTTTATTATATATATTAAAACTTCCTTTCCTTTACTACTTTGTACGAATAAACTCGTTCTCGTAGTATATACGTTAGTACTTTTATTATTTAATACTCCGTACGAGTAGGATTTATTTTAATATTATATACGTTAATACTTTCTTTTTTTACTATTTAATACGAATAAAACTTGTTTTTCGAACTATATACGTTACTCGTTATTTACTTTTTACTTTTACTTAATCCCGTTTTTTTTAAAAAAACCCTTTTTATACTACCGTATACGGTACGTCGTCGGTAAAAAAAAACGAAGAATACTCTTTTAATACGTCGTATAAAACGTTAAAGTAAAGACGACGGACCGGTCGAAGGAAAGAAAAGAAAGAAAAGTAAAAAAAAAAAAAAAAAAAAAAAAGAAAAAAAAAAAAGAAACGAAAAAAAGGAAAGAATTAAAAAAAAAGAGACTTTAGTTAAAATTAAACACCGACCTTATCTTTTTATTCCCTTTTATAAAAAGTACGATACGGTATATAACTATTAAGTTATATACTAAATCGTATACGAAAGAACTAGTTCGTATTATAAGAAATATATACCGGTTTATTCTCGATTCTCGTTCGACGTCGTCGTGTCTATTATACGAACGAAACTCTTTTCCGTACAATCTAACATAACGTTTAACACTTAACACGTCCTTTTTATATTTAAACGTATCTTTCGTACGAATTAACCTAGTCCTTTTACTACCCTTACTTTCTTTCCTATTATTTTAAATATCCTTTATCCTTTTCTTTTACACCGTACGGTCTTTATTTTACTCGTTTTATTAATATTATTATCGTTTAATGTGTTTTTATCGTTATCTTATCGTTATTTTATTACAATAACGGCGTCGTCGCCCACTCCACTTTTTAACCCTAACCTTTATAAATTACAATCCGTTATTACTTAATAATAACTTGTCGTACGACATCGTTAATTAATAAATAGTGTCGCGTCGTTGTTTTCTTTATTTTCCCGTCGACTATATCCTCGTACGACGTCTCGTCGTCGCTGTATTTCTCATCCGATTTAATTAAATCAGATCAGAATGGACCCCCCGTTTTGTGGGGCACATTTAAATCCGACAGACCCCTGTCTCCTAACAAAAAAATTCTCATCCGGTTTGTCTTGTAGGGTAGGTAGCCCACTTCTTATTTCGGTAATTCGAAGTGGCTTTCTCAGTTAAACACAGCAGAATGCCTACCAGTTAAATTCCAAATTTCTTTCAGTTCACATTCCGTGGTGACCAACGAGCAAAATGACTAAGTTAATGATATAGGTTATTGTTTTTGTTTTTGATCGGTTTTCCGTATCAACAGTCACCGCATTGGCGTTGCTGTTAAGTACCCAATAGAAAATATATCAGAATGTCGTCAACTCGGGAAACTTGCTTGCTCTAGGAGACGAGAACTTTGTTTCCACGTAGATTTTCTGCATTGAATCTTCTTTGTGATCGAATGCGCGATACACCTGCTCCATGTTTTCAAGCCGAACCCGATGCGAGACCATCTGCAGAGGATCCAGGGCACCGGACTGAACCTGCTTCAACAGATGCTCCCAGTATTTTTGGACAGGTGCCTGGCCATTGCCAATGAGCCGAATGCCGCGCTCCATAAGTGAGCCAATGTTGAAATGGTTCGTCTATTCGAGATGTTAGTCTTGAACTGTCAACAATGTGCTTGTTCCAGTTTTATAAAACTCACATAACCAACGTAGACGCCTGTTACACCCACACGGCCGTAGTTACGGACACTTTCAATCATCTCGTTCAGAATCTCGCTCGTGTCTGTCTCAGCACCGATTTGCATCTGAACCCAATGGAACCATCCCTTGGCGTACTCGCCAGCGGCGCAATCAATGGCCACGTCTGGGCCACGGCCGTCGCAAAGATCCTTTAGTTTGCTGACAACGGTCTCTTTATTGGTGGTCCCAAAGCTGAGCGTCTTGTAGTCGATCAGTTCCAGCTGGTCAGCATTCTTGGCTGGCCAGCGACCCATGACAAAACTCAAGCGTGGCTCGGTATCAACAAAGATGACCTTTTTGGCCCCTTCATTGAGCGCAAAAACACCGGCCATTTGGCCAATCGGCCCCGCGCCGAAGATAGCCACCTGGTCGTTGGGATAGACTGCAGTGTCTTTGACTGCATTGTATGATGTAGCCAGCACGTCTGAAAGGTACAAGGCCTTTTCGTCGGGGACGTCGTCGGGTATGTGCAGCAGGTTGACGTCGCCAAAGGGTACTCGCACGTACTCTGCCTGACCACCGGCAAACCCGCCCGTGAGGTGCGAATAGCCAAAGATACCAGCCGTCTGTGAGCCGTAAAGTGCCTTTTGAGTCGAGTTCGAGTTTGTGCGCTCGCACTGGGAGGACAACTTCTGTTTGCAAAAGAAGCACTGAACGTGTTAGTCATATCGCATTACATGATAGGAAAGGAATAAGGAAGGGGAACGGACATCACCGCAAGCAATCTGAAACGAAGCAACATATCGTCCTCCCTTCTGAATATTCTTCACGTCGGGGCCAACATCATCGACGATACCGCAAAACTCGTGACCGAGGATGTCGTTGACTTGCATTTGAAGCACCGAACCTGGACGTTTAGACTGTTAGAGTCGGTAATGTCTGACATTGGTACCACGCTTGGTGAACAACAGAAAATTCACCGTGTAGAAGATGGAGGTCGCTGCCGCAGATAGTACTGCCTGTAACCTTGAGAATTACGTCGCGAGGCTCGATAATCTTTGGCCGAGGCACGTCCAGGACTTGAACTTTATTTTTCCCTTGCCAGGTGAGGGCCTTCATGGTATGCCCTCCGTCTCCTGACTTTTCGTAGTTAGCAATATCTTGCTGCGTCACGGCGCCACCATCGTGTCCAATTGCCTGCTCGGCAACGTTTGCCAGTCTTGATGTAGCCATGTTGTGAATTTGATTTGAATTTTTTTTGGTATTAATACAGCTGGATCGACGAGGCCTACGAGGTATAGGAACGAAAATGCCATCAAAATATACAAAATGTCGTTCTTCGTCTATGATGTCAATCAAAATGGTGTATTGTAGTAGTTTACTTTTATCATATGTTTAGTACATGATCACCGTCAACCATAGGGGCGAATGTCAGCTTTTCTACTCTGATGACGTCGACCATTTCTCCAATACGGGACGACTCCAGCACACGCTTTGTTTTTCTCGACAATGAAATACGTAAAATCCTAAAATCTTGAAATTAACTGGGATGAAAATCCAAGTTTATTTTATTCGAATAAAGAGATTTAGTAACATGTCGGACGCGTAATTGGTATTTAGTAAATGTGTGTACAGACCTGTGTAAATAAAGTATCTTACATAATCTTTAGAGCGGCTTTTTATTGGCAAATGAGTTAGCGCAAATAAAATGCCTTACATGCAGAAACGCGACGGAGGCGGCGGCAGAAACAAGGTCATATGTATACACGGCTATGAAGACGGGTATACACGGCGGCACCGGTTGTGACCTAGGAGGAAGCAATAGATTATATGACACTTAGGTAATATAATACGAGCACGAGGAGGCGTGATAGTATAACACTTGAAAATATCATAAGAATAGAAGGAGGTAGTTGAGGCGGGATAGCTATACCACGTGGTAGCTCGAACACGTCTAGATCGTTTCAGGACGCTTATACAAGCTACTTGAAGACAGGCTACCGTCGTAAACGTTCGCGTGAGGACTCTTATTAATGCCCTCGTAGAGACTCGACGTAAAGTCTGCCGAAGAGAGGATTGTGGAGATACAGGTAGCCGGGCGTTGACGGATCAGTTGAATAGAAGTTTACAGATAACATGAAAGAAGTTCCAACTGCTACGGTATTATATTTCGTAGGCACATAGTTGTTTTCATCGCTTTTGCCGCCTCTGTTTCCGGCAGTTATTCGTCATGGTTTTGAAATGTTTTGAACGTGTTTACGAAAGGTTGGTTTATTTACATAGGTTTGATGACAATTTAAAGTCCTTATATAGATCATGTAACCTTTGTCTTATATACAATACACAGGCCTGTTATTGGCCAACTTCCTCTCACACCCCGACTGAATACTTTAAAGCGTTATTTCGTCCTTATAGATTCTTTCCGAAGAAATCTATAAGCTTCGGACCAGACACTGTAAGGTCATCATAGAGGTCAAAATGGTCTTTCCCTTCGACGACAAACAGTTCCTTCGGTTCACGGGCTGTAGCAACAGCGTCTTCACTGTAATGAAGAGTCTGGGCCTTGGATCCGGCGACCATTAATAATGGCCGTGGGGAGATCAGATGTTGGAGGTTAAATGAGTCGTAGCCGATCATGAGATCGTAGCTAGATGGTGGAACTTTCTGGTCGGAACGGGGATGGTTTCCACGCTTCGACCCGTAGTATGAGGCCGCGTCTTTGAAAAAGGAGTCTGTGTCCTCCGGAATTTGAGAGATATCGCTGCTGAACATAGGTGGGGCTTCAATGCTGGGGTTGTCGGCCACACTCGTACGCCACTGGTCGGCTACCTGAAGTACACCAGCGATGACTTCAGGGACTTCCTTGTTGTTCTCCTTGTGTAGACCTCCATTGCGGGTCATACGGCCAACGCAAGCGGCACTCACAGTAGCAAGTGCCTTGATACGGCTGTTAGACTGCGCGGCATAAGATGAATAACCACCTGAGGCGCAGATTCCAAGAACACCAATTCGGCTAGGATCAACTTTGCCCTTTAACGTGCCCAAGTAGCTCACAGCAGCCTTAATTCCTCGACTCTCTGATGCGGGTCTTCTAGCCCACGTGGCTGTCCAGTGCTTTCTTCCTGATAACCGGCGTCAAACGTAAGGGCGTAGAATCCGGCTTTAGATAGCAGCCGGGCGTGGTCTGCAGAGGTTTGTTCTTTGACTCCGGTCATGGGGTTGCTGATCACAACTGCAGCGCCATTGCGGTCAGGGGCGCCAGCAACCGGGGGGTAGAGCTCGCCGCAGATCTGCAGCATGAAGGATGGGAAGGCGACTTTCGTTGGAGCAGACATAATGGAAGATAATGAGCACCGTGAATTGAATAAATTGCGTAGAATAGATGTTGTTGGACAGATTTCGTAGGATATATGTCTGATTTGGTTGAGACCGGCCCTTTTTTTACTTCAAAGTGACTTTATATTAACAAACCTATGACGTAATTCGTAGTAGATTAATTTCTCTGCAAACATTTCTGTCGCAGTTAAGCCTAACACCGGGTCTGGCCACCGGTAGAAGCGGGGTCGTACATGTACACTGGTGGAGCATGCGGGGCAACTATTGACGAGTTCCTCGGTAGGACAGGTGGTTGACGTCCTTTTCATACAACATTGCTTGTATGAGCTCTGTGATTAGCTTCAGGACGTTATGGCGGAGCAGCTCAATAATTATGGAATGCCTGGCGTACGTCCGCTTGTTGTGCCGGATGCCAGAGCGCATGTGTGGCCTTAATACACAGGCTATCTAAGCCGCCGTCACCGCGCTGACGACTCTCTACCGCTACTAAGACGACGGACGTAATCCTCCGCCCCGAGTATATTTGTCAGCGGATGCCTCAGGCTCTGATCTTGCCTTAGGCACTAACATCCGCTATCACGTGATAAGGGGCAGATAGAAAACATCGCCGCGGATGTGGTGATGTCAGTAGATAGGAGAATCAAGCTTATTTCATTCCATTTCATGACAATATTGGAATTGGAGTGACTGGATTAGCGTGTTCGTAGCGGCCTCGACCGCCTTTGGCATGAAGGTCAGTGGCAGTCGGGCGATTGATTTGGTCTGTCGGCACCACCCGAGAAACCAAGCGACGCATACCGGCGGTGTGCTCGTTGTCAACGCCTACCAAGATCACATGATCGGTGTCATGGCCAAGGCATGTGCGACGATCGGCCAAGACAAGACAGTGCACGCCAGGGCACTGCCACGCAAACGCTCGAGAAGGCATTTCAGATTAAATATCTAACACCCGCTGGCCTCCTCGTCGGTAAAACGCAGACCTGCATCAATCTTGAAATCGTCTTAACTTGTTCGCGGCGTAGGCATAAAAGTCATAGGCCGCGGGTGCCCCTCGTAAACCTAGACACCGGGCCAAGTTTCGGAATGGCCACAGGTTTTGTTGGCAGCCTGTCATTACGTACGCGCATACCCAATGTGGCAGCCATCAGGTAACGTACCGCCTGCTGCAGAAGCGAATGTCGTCGTAGTTGATATTCTCTATAGGGACGAATACCACTCCTATTTAAGAGCGCCGAGCAGCATGCAGCCGGGCGGAAACTTTTGAGATGACTAACTTCAAAAAATACGATATCAGGCCCGTCATTAACTGGCTGTATACCACCGTCGTGGGCGTGACCCCCTTCGGGCCTAGTTGGCGGGAGTTCAAGACGGCACCCATCCCCCCCGGCAGTAATATCACGTCAATTTTTGTAACGTACGACACACCGTAAGTGGCCAGGATGGCACATAATCGACGGTACGCTCAACGTTGATTTGCTCGTCTTTGCCAGCAACGGTAGATTGGTTGTTCTACTGCACGAGTAAGGCGACATAAGCAATACATATCGATAGGTGGGATCAGGCCGGTATCGGTTCCTGCCACATCGGGACTATCTCCGTGACTGGCCACCGCAGCCGTTGCTACTGCTGTTCCCTGACTCATTTGTGAAGGTATTGAGGGATAACATGCATATTGTTTTACGTGGAGCATTTTGAATCATATTACGATAAAGTCAACACAGCAGTGTTATGATGCAACCAACGTCGGTCATGCTTGCCATTGGCCTTTACCTAAACAGGTTAGAAATGAGCACAGGCAGCTGCATTCAAAAGTCGTCATCGTCAATCAAGCTATTACGACATACAAGATGACGGAATACAGGGCCAGTGCACTGGGTCCAATCGCGTTCTAACGTCTTCCGAGTCATGAACACCATTTTACAAAAGTATTTCAACCTAGTCTATCATAAGAAGAAGCAGATGCATTATCACAGTATTTGAATTGTAGGGTGCCATTAGGCTGAACAAAGTTGTGGTGTGTCCCGCCAATTTGGTAAATTAGGGGACACGGATAGCAGGCGGTGCGGGACAACACTAATGATCTCGCGTAGCTAACTTAGCTCTCTTTTTACGGGGTTGATTCTTCTCTTGAATCTGTGCTTTTGACGTTTTAATGATCGGTTCCCCAGAATAAAATGGTGGAGTTGGTCAAATTTCCTTAACTCAACTGCGGCCAGACAGAGGAAATATTGCGTCAACTGGTCTGCCGTCACGCCATTGAAAATTAGCTACAAGTCAATTACTGAATGTATAAGCACTTTGTATAAATGGTCCAGGTTGGCCGTACCTTGACGTCTTTGTAAACAAGGTCAAAGTCACAACAAACCCACCTCGAACCATACCTTACCTTTACATCTTTCCATACACACCTTACACTCCGAACAATAGAATACAACATAACATGTCTACATTCTCCACGTACGACATAGCTGTGCCGGTCCTTACCCGCGGGCTACAGACATTTGACCACATTCTACACAAGGCCGAGGCCCACGCGAGGGCCAATGGTATTGATGCTGACTCCGTCTACCCCTCTGCACGCCTTGTGGTAGACCAGAATCCGCTCGTTTTTCAGGTGCAAAACGCCACAAAGACTGTCCGCAACTACGTCATCCACCTGACGGGCGAGGACATTGCTCCGTTTGAGGACAATGAGAAGACAATTGCCGACTTGCACACCCGCATCAAGGCCGGCCTTGCTCTGCTGAAAAGGGTCACTCCCGATGTCGCCAATGGACGTGCTGAGAGCCAATCAGCCACCTTTAATCCTAGTGGTTCGCATCCGGTGACCCTCAAGGTCAAGGACGCCGTGCTGCTCCAGGCCCTTCCAAACTTCCTTTTCCATCTGACGACGGGGTACTCTATTCTACGTGCGCAGGGCGTCCCTGTCGGCAAGGCTGACTTCATCTCCAACTTCGTTGGTGTCCCAGGCTTCGAATAGGATTTGGCGTGGGAGCTGAACTAGATACATGTCAACGCAATTTAGACAAGAGAAATTAGTTATTCAAAAGAATATTGAAACATGACTCGGTCCACGTGATCTTATCCCAATCATCTCTTACTGGGTCCAATGTTATAACTTTGATGCAGCCCGATGTCACGGGCGTGCGAGTATTATCATTCTGTGTCAAAGAGATCGCTTTCACGTTTTATTGGTTAGTGTGGCATTACAATTCTGAGAACAGGAGGCCAATGTCGGTGCCATATCGGCCAAGCAACGAGTGCCTGTACATGTCATCCAGTCGTCTTTTCTTCCAGTGATCCAATTAATAAAGGATTTTAGAATTAGAAACTCGGACCATTTTAACTTTTTTATCCGAGAAAAGGTCCGGTCAATTGCATTGCCGGACAGATTCACCTCGTCATGTAAAATGGCGCTATGGCGCCATTGATGTCAAGCACGTTATACCTGCGCATATTCACAATAGCTGATTCAGGGGTAATACGACGTACTGTTCGAATTTCAGCACTGCCGGCCCGCAAAACTTATAACGGCCCGTAGGTGAATATTAATATTAATCAGCGGTAGATTCAACCATTTGACATAAGGTAGAACCCACCCTGTAAAACGAAGTAGGTGTTATAAATGCCTGTACAGTAGACGTAACCGAAAGGGGTTAGAATAAAGATACTCTCTACCAATAAAGATTAGAAGTAAATAAGAAAAAGAAAAACATAAGAGAAAACAGGAAAACAAAATAGAAAATAAAGGGAAGAGAAAAAAAAAAAACACATTAAATCCAAAGCCTAAAACGTCTAAAAAGGCTTTGCGGCGAATCATTGCTACCCGCGGAGGAATAGTAGCGTCAATGAGGAGTCAATACAACAAAATTGAAGCGGACTATATCAAACAACCCCCACGACCTCAAGCGACTAGCGACAACCTCAACTCGACTAATTTCCCACGTCTCTGGAATATACGGTAGAGACAGGGGCATAGAGAGGTGCAATTAAGAGAGAATAGTAATAGAGAGTTCATATTTTACGTTCTAGCATTGAATGAAAACATTACTAGAGCATCGTTGTCTTTTTGTCAAGTCCGAGAGCGCATCCCCGCAAGCCAATGTGCTTTGTAGGCACACCTGAGACACATTGTGGCCTACTACCTTTGAAAATCGTGTACCCATTGGGGGACACGTACAGGTGTTGTTGAATCATTGTTTGTTCAGCATGACATGTCGCTCCCAAAACGTTATGTATTCCCATACTGTTGCTAAATCACATATGCAATACGATATTCACAGACTTTTCTTAGGAACGTAGACGACCATTTATAGCCATGCTTTCTGACATATAAACTAAAAAATCCATATGAAAACTATTACCATAACAAGAGATGTAAATAAAACATTTATAAGTCCTCAAAAATGACTTTACTCATAGTCTCATCCACTACTCCATCTGCTTAATCTTGTCTGCCAGAGTGAATTTTGCGTCCGTGTTCTGCTGTACGTTATCCACAGTCACACCAGGGGCAAGTTCAGTTAAAGTCAGACCGCTGCCTTGGCGACGATCAACCTCAAAGACGCAAAGGTCGGTGATTATTGTGCTCACAACGCGGGCACCAGTTAGTGGAAGTGAACAGTTTTGGACAATCTTGGAGGAACCATCCTTCGCGACGTGCTCAGTGGCGACAACAATCTTGGTCTTGTCAGGGTTCGACACAAGATCCATAGCACCGCCCATGCCCTTGAAAATTTTACCAGGTATCATGTAATTGGCTAGATCACCAGCGGCGCTCACCTGAAGTGCCTGGAGAGGGATAGTGTCAGCTTGGGGACATGACACGTGAAGAAAATGGTACTTACTCCTAGGATCGACACGTCGACGTGGCCTCCTCGGATCATGCCGAAGGATTCAGAACTGTCGAAAGTTGCTGCACCCGGTACCAAGGTAACAGTTTCTTTACCAGCATTGACAATATCACTATGACATTAGCAGGTCGATCTTGTGTGATGTT